CAAGTTGCATAGGGTTCAACTTGTAAAAGTGAAGAATTTCACGAAAGAGAATGTTAAGTGGGAGCCGAAGTCCGTACTCAGTAAAATCTACTATAGGAAAGGGCATTGAATCATCTGTGGGCATGATAGAGTCACTATCTTCAGCTAGCCTCAGATGGACATTGGCAGGAATAGAGAACTCCCGCCTAAAGTACTCGAGTTTGGTTGGGGTATCTACCCTATGTCTCCACATACCCATAACGTCGGCCTAAAAATAGAGGGCTAGGTTTCAGAAAGAAAGGTGTTCTTAAGGGGTTATCCGGACCTCGGCGAAACCCTAGGTATATGCTGGTAAAGATTGTTTCAGTTTTCCCTAAATTAAAGGTTCTATAAACAAATCCCAAGCCTAAGAACTATGAAGATGAAGATCAAAGGCACAGATCTGGAAAGGAAAAACAGAAAACAAGAAACAAAGAATGACGTTTCAGAAACGAAGAACAGAGGTATGGTTTTTAAAAGCGAAAGAAATACAGAAGTAAAAGGTCAAGAACAGTGGCAAGAAAAGTATTAAAACAGTGCAAGTGTTCAAGATATGAGTAAAATTATGGAATAGACACATCCAGATGAATAGTTCAGCAAACTAAAGGTTTGAACAGCGCAATAATGGCAGTAAGTAAACGAAAGCACATAAAAGAAATTGGGAATAAGAGGAACAGAGGCTTACTGGAACAAATGAAGCTGGAATGAAAGTCGCCGAGGTAAGGCAACGGTTGCAGGCAAGACGGAGCGACGAAAGCTTCGCTGGAATGGAAAAATGAAGGTAGTTGCAGAGCTTGGAGCTGGAGCAATGACGGGTTTGAGAAAGTTTAGAGAGAGAGAGAGCCAGAAAATCGAATGCAAAAGTAAAGAAATGAAGATGGAGAGAAAAGTTTTGTACAAAACTTGAAACGGCGGCAAAGGCAGGGCATTTATTACGCCTGGAGCAACGCACACGTCAGACGGCGCAGATGGATGAAATACAGCCTTCAGGCGCATCACAGACACGGGCCAAGGAGGATAAAGCACGTGAGGGAAACGGTTGAGAAAAGGTGCATGACAGCTCATACGCGTAGAGGAGTTCGTTTGAGTTCTTATTCTTTGATAAAGGCATGTCGGCCTAAAATGAATGATCTCGGCCAAAGGGTTCTCACGCCGAGGTACTGGGAGAAAATACAGATATAGGTTCCATCACCTCAGAATACCGAGGTAATAGAACCTAGGTGGCATATATATATGTGGGGATGTATTTTCTAAATACCAACACGTGGTATGGTGATGCCGACGTGTCAGCCGAGGTGCCACGTGTCCTGGTGGTTATGCCGAGGTTACCTAGGCAAGGCCGAGGTAATCTCCGAAGATATCGGAATCCGAGATAAGCGGAGAAATGGATAAGGGGCAAGAGTCCTAGAGAAGGTTACCTAGGCAAGGCCGAGGTGATCTCCGAAGATATCGGAATCCGAGATAAACGGATAAGGGGCAAGAGTCCTAGAATGAAGAGGGAACTCAACTTGGATATGGACAAGAGTCTTAGAGAAAAGAGAAGACTTCTGCTGTTGGTAAGGATAAAGCTCTTAGGGAGTTTATCTTTATTTCTTGAGGAATCCAAAATAAGTATTAAGTTGGAGTCCATAGAAGTCAGGCTTCTAGTAAGATTTGGATTGAGTAAACTATAAAAGAGAGACACCCCCGTGGGTCTAAGGTACGCAGTTTTATACTCAAGCTTATGAGTTTAGCACTTGATTATCTTTGAGAGATATACTGACTTGATCGTCGGAGTGCCCCCGGGTGGAAGAGCCACCGCCGGAGCCTTTTCTTTCTGTTACAGGTTTGCTGAAGCCATCTATTCTGCCCGTGCTCTCCAGCTGATTACTAGGCAGACAGTGTGGTCAGAAAATTACCCACACAGTAAGTTTATGTTTTTCTAAAAAATCAATCGAGCAAATAAAGCTCATAAATAAAATAAACCCAAAAAAAAGTGATATTTATAAATAAAATAAAAAAAACAAAATCTTAAAACTCAAATGATTTTTCCTAATTTCATAAATCATAACTTAAATTCACAAATTAATAAGTTTAGCTTTTCATTGAAAAATATAACAAGTAAAAAAACTCTAAACAATTTTTTTTTTTTTCCATAGTGTAAACAAATATATATATATATATATATAACTGGTTGTAAATCAAAAAAATAAAATCTTAAAACCCAAATGATTTTTCCTAATTTCATAAATCATAATTAGTTCATTGAAAAAGAGAACAAGTAAAAAAACCCTAAACAGTTTTTTTTCATGGTGTAAACATATATATATATATAACTGGTTGTGCACACAAAAAAAAGGTCAAAACTAACAGTTTGTCAAAGATGGAGTGGAGTTTAGTGATTCTAGATTTTGTTAGAGTTAATGGTGCCTTCGATCGACTTTGGATATTCGCAGGTTGAGGTTTGATCCAGGCAGAAACGTGAGAGTTCTTCGGGTTCTCTCTAGAGCTCTCTATTTTCTCAAACGTAAAATGAAGAGAGAGAGAGAGAGAGAGAGTAAGAGTAGAATAGGAGTTTATATACCTGGTTTAATGGTAATATTTTTTAATAATAGAGGGCATTTAAGTATTTTGACTTCTTTAGTTTTAGCTACCTGCATAATTTGAATCTAAAAAGCACCCCTTGAGATGCTTTTTAAAATTAACTTTTTTTCTCACATTTAAGTTGTAATAAGTTATAAGTTGCTACCTTGTAAGTTACACCAAATACACAATTTCAACTTAAATTAAGCTAAAAGTTGAAATAAGTTGTTTTTAAACTACACCAAACACCCACAATGTATCCTACACATAGCCTAAAAACACGGGGACTCAAAAAAGGATACGAGTGTAAAGGAAATTTCAGTGGGTGTATTAAGGAAATTTCTAGGACTGTACAAAATACTATTTAATCCGGTAAAATAGCACTGATCACCATCAATCTGCACTGTTTTATTCGCTGACCGCGGATTAAACTTTAAAATCTATAATCCGCCTTTAAAATCGCTCCATTCCGCTATAATTAATACACACACACATATATTTTAACATCTAATGAAATATCAAAGTAAACATGAGTATGAGACAAATTTAAAATGTTAAATTTATTACAAATTAGTAGTTATATATATATATATAATATTATATAAAATTAGTTTGCGTTATATATATAAATTTTTTTATGCAATTTAGTATTATATTATGCAAATACTTGTTAATTGGTTAAAATATTTTTTAATTTATCAATCCGCTCAAAACCGTCCAAACGACGATTTGTCAATTTGTCAATTCACTAATTCACTATTTAATTTATAATTTTATTATTAAACCGTTCAAATTGCACTATGCATATCCCTAATCACACCACCTCTCTAATAAAATAAAATAAAAAATTTAATTTTTAACCTCCCCTCAAAATAGGCCCTAGGCAAACAAGATCCGCACCTGATTAATAACGACACTGACGGATTTGGAGCAATGGTTTGAAACCCAGACCGGTTGGGCCGGTCGAGCCGGTTGGACCGGGCCTTGTTCCAGTCCGGTCAACCCCCTAAAACCGGAGTAGAAGCAAAACTGGCCTAGAAATGGAAAACCAGAAGACCCGGCGGTTGAACCGGGAAAACCGGTGACCCGGACCGGGTTTGGTGGATTGGACCGTTGATTTTTTCTATTTTTTTTATTATTTTCTTTCTTTCTATTCTCTTTCTTTCTTATATATATATGAGAGGGAGATTTATGATCTAGTTTCGGCCAAACAAGATTGGGCCGAGGTATTTGGCTTCAAGATTGTGCCGTGGTTTTGCTCAGTAATGGCAAAGGGCCTGCGGAGCCGAACTACTTGGGCTCTTTGGTATGAAGGCCGGTCAAGTGAGAGCTCGACTGAGACGTCCGCGGCCTAGAAGGGCTTCACGGTTCGTGCGTTGCTCGGTCGGAAGGCGCGCACCCATAGCTCGGCATGAAGATTCGTGCCTGAAGCTCGGCAGGAAGAAAGTCTCAAATATGATAGAAGACATTCAATCTAGTTGAAGAAGGCGTGGGGCAGTAGGCGAGGGTCATCAGGCAGATATGTGCTAGTGGAGCCACATAGCAGGCTGGGGTTCTTCAGACTCTCATGGTCTTTTCTTGTTGGTAGGATCCTTTCCAAACTTGACTTCCCGCAATTGATCCAATTGAGCCATTACTTTTTCCACTGGTGAATCCAAGGATTTCTTTCTAAGCTCAGTTAAACCATCAAACTTCTGCTCTGGTATATCCCATACTCCCCGATGCTTAACACGTTCAACGACTCTCCAATTTTTGCCTTTGCTGGTATCATTGACATAGAATACTTGTCTTACTTGACTAGGTAGAACAAATTGGTCATCTTTATACCAAAGTCTTGTAACATCAATACTTGTGACATGTTCATCGGAGTATATTCTATTCTTGTGACCGGTGTCATACCATTCACATTGGAACAAAACCACTGTACCCCCATGCAAGTATTTCAATTCCCATATTTTGCACAAGTAGCCGTAAAAATTAATTTGGTTCCCATTATGGTCCCCTTCTACGACCAACCCACTATTTTGGCAGGTACGACGATTTTCACGGTTTCTAGTATGGAATCGAATTCCATTGTAGATGCACCCAGAATAAAAGTCAATTACCGATCCAGGCCCATTTGCTAATGACCACAATTCGTCAGTTGCTTCAGGTGACCCTTTCGTTCGCAAATCATTCATCTACATAAAACACCATATGACAAGTGTACTAAGTTAATGTGAATTGAAAGTTTCAACAATTGTATTCAGTTATTTTCTTTAGTATATCTTACACGATTTTTGAACCATTTTGGAAATTCTTCCCGTTGTACCCGACTTATGTCACGTCCTTGTACATTATGTAAAATATTCTTCTGCTCCCTACCCAAGGAAATGTGATATACGTAATTAACTTTGAGAGTTCGAAACAAAATGGAACGATTATGCATAAACGTAATTAAACTTAAATACATAAATATATGGCTCCACCTCAGAGCTATTGTACAACACAAACCAGTGAGCCATTTCTCGTTCATTTTGCGAAGGGTCAAGAGCCCTTGTGATAGGTGAGAATAGACGAGCATTTTGGGTAAAGACCTCCATCCCGGGACCACGTTCACCACCATCATCATTTCGTTCAGGTTTATCAATCCCTTTTAAGTACATTGAACAAAAAGTAAGACACTCTTTGACAATGTAAGCCTCAGCGATAGAACCTTCTGGACGTGCTCTATTACTGACATACCCTTTCAAAGTCCCGAGAAACCTTCAACAAAAATTGACAATGAAAATTATGCTTCTTGATGCAAGAAAATTACTTCTTAAACATTAGTCTTTTATGGGTGGATTTTTGTACAATAGTTTAGTTATAACAAATTAATAAATAGCCATATGTTCATAATGATTACCTTTCAATCGGGTACATCCATCGATATTGCACCGGTCCAGCAAACATGGCCTCATGGGGCAAGTGAACAGCCAAATGGACCATCACATCAAAGAAAGCTGGAGGAAAAATTTTCTCCAACTTGCAAAGTATGAGCACAATTCGTTCTTCCATTTTTTCCAAATCAGTCTGCCTTAATGTTTTTGAGCACAGTTCTTGGAAGAAGTTGCCCAACTCAAATAGTGTTGTACAGATCTCCTTGTTCACAAAACCACGCATGCCAATTGGTAGAAGTCGCTGAAGCAGGACATGACAATCATGGCTTTTCATGCCTGATAATCTTCCATTTTTAGAAGTCACACATCTTGAGATGTTTGCTGCATAGCCATCTGGATAACTAATCGACTTCAAGAATTCACAAAAACCATCTATTTGTCGAGAATCCAATGTGTAGGCTGCCCGAGGCTTTACAACGGATCCGTTATCTTTCCTCTGTAGATGCAATTCTTGCCTTATGCCCATTTCTTGCAAATCATCACGTGCTTTGTACGTGTCCTTGTTTTTCCCATCTATGGCCAACATCGTCCCGTAAAAGTTTTCACAAATATTCTTCTCAATGTGCATGACATCAAGATTGTGTCGGAGGTTTAATTTCTTCCAATACGGTAGCTCCCACATTATGCTTTTCTTTGTCCAATTCAATTCTTCAGACTCTCGTGGTCTTTTCTTGTTGGTAGGATCCTTTCCAAACTTGACTTCCCGCAATTGATCCAATTGAGCCATTACTTTTTCCACCGGTAAATCCAAGGATTTCTTTCTAAGCTTAGTTAAACCATCAAACTTCTTGTCTTTCCTCCAAAGGTGGTTATCAGGCAAGTAAGCTCGATGACCCACCCACCCAATCTTACTGATCAACCCGCGTGACAATGGATTATCATTACAAGGAGGGCAAGACAAATAACCTTTAGTTCTCCATCCGGATAAGTCACCATATGCAGGGAAGTCATTTATGGTCCACATTACAGCTGCATGCATCCGGAAGGTCTGTTCAGTGGAGGCATCGTAAGTCATCACGCCATTCTCCCATAACTCCTTCAACTCATCAATCAATGGCCTTAGGTAGACATCAATATCAGTCCCTGGTTGATTAGGTCCAGGAATAAGTAAGGACATCATGAAAAATGGGGCCTTCATACATCTCCAAGGTGGGAGGTTATAGGGCATGAGTATGACAGGCCACATGCTATAGGAAGTGCTCATGTTCCCAAAAGGGTTGAACCCATCGGTGGCTAGGCCCAACCTAACATTGCGAGTCTCCTGGGCAAACTCTGGATAATGCAAATCAAATTACTTCCACTCTTTACAATCAGCTGGATGCCTCCCTACACCATCATCCACACGCTTATCATTATGCCATCTCATGTCTTTTGCCGTCTTCTTAGACATGTACAATCTTCTCAACCTAGGTGTCAATGGGAAGTAACGCAATATCTTGTGAGGGATCTTCTTACCCTTGCTATCATTTACTCTGTACCTAGATGCTTGACATGTGGGACATTTTTCCAAGTGAGCATTCTCCTTCCAGAATAGTACACAATCATGTTTACATGCATCGATGAGCTCGTACCCCAAGCCCAAGTCACGTAGCAACTTCTTGCACTCGTAAATTGACCCTGGCACCACGTGGCCTTCTGGTAAGAATCGCCTTTGTATCTCCAAAACCTTGTCAAAAGACTTATTACTCCACCTATTTTCTACCTTCACATGTAGCATCTGAATAACGAATGATAACAAAGTATCTGAGTTTTTGCAACCTGGGTACAAGCAACATTGGGAAGCATCTAGCAATTTATCAAAATGTCGTACATCCTCTCTTTCTAGAGTATCACCCTCCATAAAATTCCCCCTCTGATAGTCCTCTATCAGTTCATCATATTCATCTTCATCCTCGTCATTCTCACCATTGTTTTCATCAAGGTTATTGTGTTCTGGAAGTTCACCGTGTTCTAACCAAGTGGTGTATGATACTATCATCCCACTTATTAGCAAATGAGTCTTCACAATATCATACTCATGCTTATAAAAGTTACAACAGTTGATGCATGGGCACTTAATCTCCCTATCCTCACCCAAATGAACCTTTGCAAATTCAATAAATGAGTTCACCCCATCTACATATGGCTGACTGAATCTATCAGAAATTAACATCCAACTCCTGTCCATATCTGATCATAA